AGGAAGAAGTGAGCTTGTTGTAGTTTGTTTCAATGAGCTTGTTCTAGTTTGTTTCGACGAACCTGGTGTAGTCTCTTTCCATGAACTTGTTGTCGTTTCTTTCCATGAACTTGTTGCCGTTCGAATTAAGTTGTACCGGATTCGTGAAGTTGCTATGAATGTTTGATAGTTGGTACACGGGGACATGGTGGGGGATAAACATTGGGGGCATCAACCACAACCCTATGCTCAACAAGTGGCACCATTGTCCTCTCGCTCATGTCATCCATTGGGGAAGAGACATGCCGGTTCAAATCAAAGGTAAACCGAGGAGATTCAGTGGTGGCAAACAATTCAATGACTTGTCTTCCGATTGGGATACTTTTTCCTTGTATATATCCCAATGCAAATCCGAGGTGATAGGCATACTTTTCAAGCGAGATTTGGCTTCAACTCCAACATCATACCTTCCTATTAACTTAACATCAACATTGGTGTCCATCCACTTCAAGACTTGTCTCACTTTTGCAACAACATCCTCATAGCTAGGGCTTCTATCAAAAACCAATGGTTCCTCACCCGTGTCGGCATTGTTACTCAAGAATGCCTCCTTGTCAATGTAATGAACATTAACAAGTCTCTCCATCTAAAAATTACATGAATGCATTTAAGACCTCAATGAGAATTGGTGTTTATCCAAATACATCTTATTATATCCAAATCATATCAACACTAAATTATTGGTGATGACCACAAAAGTATCACTAATCACTAATTAACACACTAAGCAAAGTTAACCCTAATCACTAACTAACCCTAACCCCCAATCTTTCTACTCAACAAACATATATTCCTACTACACACCATGCATAGCACTATATTATCAAAGTTAACCAAGCCATTCACACTAACATAAGGGGGAGAAAACATGAACTAGGGTTCCACCAACATGTATAAAATGCAACCAAAAGGACAAGACTTAACAAAAAATAATTGGATGATTTGGGAGAGATTAACAAGAGCAACAAAGTGATGGAAAGATCCACCTAAGGGATGTACCTTTTGGAGAGGATTTGAGGGGGAGCTTGAGGGGTGAGAGAGAGTGGGGAGGCAGCAGCTCTTCTTCAAGCTCGGGCTGGATTGGGGAAAGTGTGTGGGGTGGGACCCACACACTCTCCCGGTGGGGTTATCCACTTACCGGGGCCAGACGCCAGGGACCCTGGCGTCTGGCCCCTTTGCCACGTCAGCAGGTCAACGGGCAGGCGGACAGTGCGGGCCAGGGGCCAGACGCCGGGGACCGTGGCGTCTGCTTCGTAACCCAGACGCCAGGGACCTTGGCGTCACCGAAAAAGGTCAGAAACGAAATTTTTTTTGGAACGAGGTCAAATCGGGATTTAGTTTGCCTTAAGGGTCAGAACAGTAATTTTGTCCATTTGCAGGGACGGCAAGCTCGTGTGGCTTGCGGCATGGGGACACGTGCGAGTACTAATTTAATTGGATGAGAACGGCAAGGTCCTGGTGTGGCGTGGTCGGTTGTAAAGGTGTGTGGGCCGATAGATACTGATAGGTACCCCGTGTGGTCCGGCCCAAATCAACAGCCCATCTGTCTGCTCCAGCTCAACTTTTTGGAGTGAGTAAATTCCTCCCTCCCCTAAAAAAGAGTAAATTCTTCCATAAACCAAGGTAAAAGGATGCAGAATTTCCTCAAAAAAGGGGTGGAAGGATACGAAATCCGCCTCCACTGGCGCATGTTTCTCGGATACGACGGAGAGACGGCGTAGCGCGTCACGCTTTGTGCACTTGTATACATACTGCTGCTGCTACTCCACTGCCTGTCTGAAATCGGGTACTGAACCAGTACTCGGCTGCATTTTCCGTGTTGCCTGTGGCTTCTTTCTTGGCCGCGCCAACGAAGCTTCCGAATCAGGCTCGAATTTTGTCGACAGCGTTCAGTTGGAAACGACCCGATCTTCCGTTTCGCCGGTGCCACCTTTTGTTATTTCAAATCAGAAACAGACCCATCTTTCAATTTGCCGACGCTCATGTTCCACAAAGCACAGACAGGACGCACATCACTCACATCTTTCCACATGCTACAAGTCTTGCAAGGCGTCCCGTGGCGTCGATCCTACGGGTTATCGGGGTCTGATCGCATGCACAAATCACAAATGAACTCGAGCAAAGCCAGGCCCTAAAAAGCAAAGAGCAAAGATGGGCGGGCATCATACGAGACAATGAACAGCTGTACATACGCTTCCCGTTGTTTTCTTATAGGTTTCTGGACTGTGCTTGGTTAGCAACAGATCCGGACGAGTTGCATGCATCCAGTCGATTGATCCTCCCGTTCGTCTGCGTCGTTTCGTCTAGCTTGCCTGCATGCATCTTCGTCTTATTTTTTTCTGTGCGTGTCCACTCCACTAGCAGTTAATTAGAGTTGCTAATCATATACATGCAGAAAAAACGAAAATGATGATGTCATCAAAGATTCTTCCCAATGCAAGAATTCAAAATGTTTTGTAGCACAAATCGTCGCTCCGATTAAAAAACTGTTTTCACGTAAAAGATTCGTAGCGACGAGATCTTCGAAACTAGATCCCATGTTGATATGTTTCGACGACTTTTTTTTTGGGTCAGAAGTTACCACGTGTTCTACACAATTTATCATATCTGTGGTGCCTAAATTATCATGTTGTTTACACAGAAATTACAGGGGCATGAAAAAGTTTCTCCAACCTTCTATTCACAAGCATATGCGTGCATGCATTAGAAGAAAATTTTCATGTCATCCTAGTTCTCCTTGTTCAAAACTTCAAAATGTTTTATAGCTCAAATCGTCGGTCCAATCAAAAAGTCGATTTCACATAAAGTATCTATCACGACGAGACCTTCAAAACTAGATCTCATGTTGATATGTTTTGACAGACTTTTTTCATGCAAAAAGTTATCAGGCCCGGGCTAAGTAAGTTATCAGATCTGATGTGTGTCTATTATCATGCTATTTACACATGAGTAACCGTGGTACATTTTCAACAGCTATTTTTTTGGACAACGCGGTGTTTGTGCGTGAGTTACCATGCCCGCGGTCCGTATATTACCATGTTATTTACGCATAAGTTATCAAGGTTATGTTTTCAAACAATTGCCTCCCCCGCCATCAAAGTTATCACGGGTGTTTGCACATGATTTATCAAGTTTACGGTGCGTATATTATCATGGTATTTATATGGAAGTTATCAGGAGGGGTTATGTTTTCAAACAACTTCATCCCCTCCCAACATCCTGGCCCGTAAGTTACTGTGGTATTTATGCGTAAGTTATCACGTATACGGTGCATACTATACCATGCTATTTGACGGAAGTTGTCGGTGATGTTTTTAAAAACCTCCTCCCCCGGGTCAAAGTTATCACGGTATTTGCGCATGAGTTATCAGGTTTATGTTGTGTAAATTATCATGCTAATTACGTAGAAGCTATCGGGTGATGTCTTCAACTTTTTCTCCCTGTCAAAGTTATCACGATGTTTGCGCATGAGTTATCATGTCTGTGGTGTGTAAAATATCATGCTATTTACGCATAAGCTATCGGGGGTGTATTATACCATATGTAGCCTGATACCTACAAAAATTAACCATGTTGATAACTATAGTACATCTAGCCCGATAACTGCATAGTAAGCATGTTGATAACTATAGTAGATATTGCCCGATAACTATAGTAGATCTTGCCGAATAAACTACAAAATAACCATGTTGATAACTATAGTATATCTAACCCGATAACTACAAAATAACCATGTTGGTAACTATAGCGCATAGTAACTATGTTGTGAGATGGTGGATCTTTCCACTCTTCAAAATTGATGCAGAAGAGGATGGGCGCTGGACATTCCTAATCTACTCAACTCCTCCCAAATCAAGTACACGCTGAAGCATGTTTTCAGAATCGATTGAACATTGTTTTTCTTGATCTAAGATTATTTCTTACGAATCCTCATCATCGCCTGCTTACGAAAATATAAAAAAATGAATGTTCAATAAAAATTTCTCCCGAATGAAAGTAACCTCAGTGCTTGCATGTAATTTGTGACTACGTCAAGTAAATTACCATGTGATTTACATCAAAATTAGCGCAGGTATGTTTCAACAATTTGTTTGGATCAACATTTCTGTAGGTACAAAGTCTCGATAAGGTGGATCATTCGCTCTGTTTATTAGCAACCATGATCAACTCTGAATGGCAAAGGAAATTTGTTGTCTGTGTAGCGTACAAATTAGAAAACTAGTTCAAAAATGCGTCAAAGGTTGTGCTAGCGTAGTTGCTAGTGCCTCTTTGTATCATGAACTGGTCCAGAGTTCGAATCCTGTTCACAATGTAATTTTTTGGCTTAAAAAAAGTGTAACAATGAGAGAGAAAATGGGTAACGCCCAAAAATCACGGCAACTAAACCCGGGCATGGGCAGCCCGGCCCGACGACCCGGCCCGAGCCCGGCCCAAAAAACCCGGGCCGGGCCGGGCCAGGCTTGACGTTCGGGCCAGGCTCGGGCCTAGTTTTGCAGCCCGGAAGATAGTTCGGGCCGGGCTCGGGCTTCATTTTTTATGTATTTCGGGCCGGGCTTGCACGTGCGTACACTAAAAAACAGCGTTCGGGCCGGGCTTTCGGGCTTCGGGCTTAACTTCGGGCCGGGCTCGGGCTTGAAAACAGGGAGTATTTCGGGCTTCGGGCCGGGCTCGGGCTTGGGAAATGAAGGTCGGGCTTTTATAAGCCCGGCCCGAAACCCGGCCCGGCCCGACGTTTGCCCGGGTTTACCCATTAAAAGCCCCTGCTAAAATCGCGGCGACCGGCGACCTCCCACAAAACGTGAAACGGCAACCTTCTAGTAAAACGTGGTCAACGCCCAGCTGTCCCGCCGCGCAAATCGCTACCTAAAATAATAGCCAGGCGATCACGATCCAATGGCTCCGACATCCGTATCTGTTGCAAAAATTCGGACGGCAGGAATATAGCTTTCTCGTTTCTTATATTACAGCATCAAAGACTTTCTCAAAGCGATAAAAGCGACGAAGAAAATGGGGGAGACGAGAAAGAGCATGTACGGGATGATCTGCCGGATCCCCACCTCGGGCTCGTCCGGGTTCGCGTAGTAGTTCCTCTGCCCGCCAAACTGGTCGAAGTACCCCTCGTAGCCCGTGTTGCGCGGCACTGGCACGCCGTCGACCTTCAGGAAGTCCGCCGCCTTCGCACGACGGGAGAGACCAAGGAAATCATTCAGGCGCCCGGTTGTTCCGGGCCTTGTTCGAAAGGGCGGGGGAGACGTTGCATGAGCATTTGAGTGAGACGCTTACCTGAAAGCTGAACATGAACATCTTTGCCTTCTTGCTGACGCGATCGTTTGGGTGGTACTTGAGCTTGCTATACATGCCCATGGCTTCCTTGGACCTGCCCAAAAGTACATCCACCAATGAGGGAATATTAGATAGGAAACCGCACACACAGATAAGTTTCAAAACTAGAGAAACATGAAGGTTGTGACAGACTGACAGTATTGGTGCATGTTTCAGTTCATGTGCAGCTTATACGAAAAATTCATCGGATGCATGTGAAAAATCTGCACACCGGAACGTGGGCATGAATATGGATTCACATACACAGTAATCACAGTAAACGATAGAAAACACCAGTTCCAAAACAGGAGAACCAAATATATAGTAGGTTTGTTCAGGGGATTGGAATGTTGCGTCGCATTTGCACCTTAAACAGGGAAAACATGCATGATTGATGAATTGAATGGCAATGCATGAAATGGCAAAGGGAGCAAAGGGTACCTGCAGAGTGAATCCAGACAGATGGACCACTGGAGAGCAGCCATTCCATGAAGTTCGGTCTGCACGTAACTTACTTTGAGTAAAATGATACGACAAGGACACCACAATGAAGCAGGAATACAGGCATATCACAAGGAGCATCTGTGTGACAAAATACAGAGGTTTCGTATCTGAACTAAAGCATAGTATACACCGGCATGATGCTGCTTACTTTTAAGTATCTACAGCAAATGCACTTGCATTCCTTTAGATGCCATGTCCTAACAAAATGGTCAAAACTAATACCCATAGTAGTTCTAGTGCAAAAATCAGGACTATATATGCATATCCTAAGATGTAAATTAAATTGGAGATAGACCCAGCGCACAGATAGAAGTTGGATGGATCTGCCTAGCATGAAGGGGCAATTTGCTGTAGAAGACAGGACTTTCTGCCAGTTGCCCATGCTAGGTGCAGCAAGCTTTGTCACAAGGGTGCGATTTTATTGTCTAACGTACTCGAGCATAAAATGGAAGGGCTATGATGTGCTATTGCTGTGATTCGGAACTAAAACAGCAACAATATTGGCTTTCTCACAATTAAAAAGAGTGCAGAAGAGAGGTCCACTTACCACAAGCCAACATTTCATTAATGATAACATTTACCTTAAAGTCCGCAGCCTGCATCACTTTTTCATAATAAGGCAAAGCTTGTTTCAGCCTTCCAGCATTCATAAGTTCGTCACCTTCCTTCAGTGCCTTAAACATGCAAAATATAAAAATCATTATCGTAAACCGAAGTATGAAAACATCAAAAGCTCATGACATTAAAGAAGTAATAGGTATATCCATATGGATTAACACGGGGGTTCAAAAGGAGAATGTGACAATTGACTTCAAAACCTAAATATGATCTTAGAAAAGCAATATCGTTACTTCAAAATTTTCATATAAACAATAATTTTCCTCTCACTATTCTCTTGCTCATGAGCAAAACATATTCATTATTAACTAATGCATATACTACACTGATTAGCTTGCCCAATCATCAACAATTTTCCAATGAAAAACTAGCAGTTATCCGTGCTCTACAAAAAAATATTTCGCACCAATTATTTAATAACCTCCACCTGAACTATCTTATTAGCTATTATTCTGATTCATCACAAGATGGATTCTAATATTACCAAACAACATCCAATATTTTTCCTACTATACATCATTGCCACCACGTTCACCATCCAAAAAATGGCTGTGTGTTTTTTGTGCACAGCCCGGAGTAAGAAGCTTGTATTATATACAAAAAGGTTGCTAGCAAGAAAATACTTGGTTCATTGGTCAGAAGTTAATTCATGACAAAATAAATATGTATAGGTTCTCTATTCAACCACAAATAGATACAGGATATCCTGCAAGTACACAGACAAAGTGCCGATAAAAAAAATTTAAAGGCTCCTCGACTGACACAGGAAGACCCACACATAAAGTGTCCACGGGTACTTAATAAACAAACCACTGCTGATTAATTTATATGGAATGATGTTTCAGTCATGTACCTTGGTGCACTCTGCCTTTGTTTTTGCATCGAGTGTCTTGTTTTTTCCACCAATATACGCAGTTAGTAGTTCTCTGGTACGTTTATCTTTAGCTGCTTTCTCTTCAGCACTTTGAGTCTCTCCACCAAGGCTTATATTTCTTCCACCACCATACTAATGAGGAAGTAAGGAAATATCAAAACTGGGAAAAGGTAGCACTACTACGAGCCTATATTCTCTAACTCAATTACATCAAATAAATTGCTAATGGTTTTACAAAGGAAACTATTTTGAAACATGTATAGAACAATGCAAAAGAGCACAATCACTACAGAATCAGTTTCAACTGCATTTTAGATGTTTTTCCAATTATATCAATCAAACAAGAAGGAAGCAGTGTAGATAGCAAGAAAATTTTAGAAGTGTTTTTATCTTGTATTTCAGACATGGCAATACCTAAAAAATTGTTAAAAGTCTAAACCTGCCCAAATATATGTGATGTGCATAATTCCTACTCCTTACATGTGGTTCTTGGACAGTGGCCTAGAGCCATTGTGAATGATGCTATGTTGTCCTTAACAAGGCATATGAAATGTCCAGAACTAGGATCAAACATTGTACACCAATATGACTGTTCAAATTATATTCTCTGATGAATGGTTATCCTGTAAAAAATAATATTACGCTGAATAATTTCCCATTTCGTTATAGTGAATACTTCCAATGGATTAACACTAAATACGCTGACCAGAAATTGTTTACAGTAACATTACCAATTTGCCATGACTTCAACAAGTTTTTGTTCAAAGAGATAGATGTGTCTCCAGAAAATCTTTAGGTTCAGACCCCAAAGTCAAGTCATAACAAATGGTTCTCACTTTCTCCGAGCAAAGTTACAAGAATATTCAGAGAATAAATGGCACATAGATATTATGCATTTCATTGTATTATATCATTCCACTCTAATCAAATCACTGCTCAGTGTAACAGCTGCAAGGGGGATAACCCGGTTCAAAGATAATGATAATTGCAGCATCCTTTAAAACTAGAGGGATAGGAAATTGTTTGATCTTACCGCCTTTGAAATATTTTGTGGCCGTGGAAACATTCCCCACGTTGTAACCCTGGGTTTGTACGACTCTGAGTTTTCGTCATCTTCAGGTTCAATAACAGTTGAAAGTGGTGTTTCCTCAAGCTTGCTATCTTCATTTTGTTTGCCGTCTTTTGAACGTGAAGTTTCCTCAGACTCGCTATCATCTAGAGGTTGATTTTCAGTTGAACGACGAGACTTCCCAAATTTACTAGGGTCGCCAACTACTATCTCCACCTCAGGAAAATCTTCATTTGAAAAAGGATCAATTCCTTGAGATAGCCCTGGTGGTGGACCTTGATAACGTTTTTTCTCGAAGAAACCGAGGCCCAAAAAGTCCGTCTCATCGTACGCATACCCTCCCTTTTTCTTTGCCACTTTGCCAAATGCACCTTCTTTACTAGTAAACGTGCTTTGGCCTGCAAATAAAACAAATCATGGTTGCTGTTGAAATAGAAAAAAAATAAAAGAATCAATTATTTGTGCAAATTCGAAGAGCAGTTAACTGTTCATTTGGGGGATTTGATATGGAGTAATCAGTACTGGATTTTCTTTTTCTTTTTTGGCCAGTACCGAAACAAATTAAACGGCATCATGGTTTACTGTTCTAGAATTCAGATGATATGCAAATATACTTTTAACTCTCTGGGACAAACAGAACTGGAATTACAGAAAGATAGAGAAACTTTGTAAGTACCTCACCACAATGGCAAAGGCCTCCGACCAACATTTTAATAATTGTGCTTTAAAACACCCCTTAATCCCCAGCTCCGACCACATTTTCTTCAGCAACACATAACGAGCGATCATAAGAACAGAACGACGCTTTGACACCTCGATTTAGCGACTAACTCGTCTCAATTCAAAACACGCACCCATTTCCTTTTGATTTCAACAGTTTCTACTATGACCTGATTGTAAACGACTTCTGCACCCTGCAGAGCGCATCCTGAGACTACGCAAACCAACCAAGTTAGCGAGAAGCTTGGCGCCTCTACTCACCGAAAGTCGGCGACGGATTGAGAAGCGGGGAGCCGCCGTCCAGTCCTCCCCCGTTGCCGTTCCTGTACTCCAGCGCCCGCTCGAATGCCTCTTTGCTGCCGCTGGACTCCTTTGCGGAAGGCTGCGGCGGAGGGGAAGGCGACGGTGGCGGTGGCGGTGGCTTGGGCGTCGGATTAGTCCTCTCCTTCTTGTACGCGGCGGCGCGGGCGAAGGCGAGCTTGACGGGGTCGGTTGGCTCAGCATCCTCGGGCGGAGGCGGAGAGGAGGAGGACGCGGCGAGGGGATGCAGGAGGCGGGGTGGCTTCGGGGAGAGCGTCAGGGTCCTGTTGGCGGCTAGGAGGGGTTGGCGGGTGGGGGTGGGACGGAAGGGGAGACGGCGCTGGGAAGTGGAGGGGACAAGGGAGGATGCCGCGCCTGCTGCCGCTGCGGCGGCCATTGCTTTGCGGCCCCGGCGGATCAGAGGTGCTTGGTGCCGGAAGCCGACAAGCCAAGCCAAGCGTCTGTTACTTATCCGTTGTCCGGCGTGGCGCGGCGAGTGAGCCGACGTCGCCGTGGAATGTGCGGTTGATTTGCAGAATTTGTCTTTGAGAAAAGTTAATCACTTAAAAAAACATCCTCCAATGTATTGATAATAATAACCAATTTCACGGCTACAAACACTTAAAAAGTCAAAGGTACGCTGCCCGCATCAAAAAATACAAACCTTATTATAATTGGCAATCGAAAGATTGTCGTGCCAGAACCCCAAAGCCCAAACAACATCTGTCATTGACGAAGAAAAATATAGATTGAAAGGACCAAACATGCAAATACACCAACGACTCAGACCAAAACAGTTGGTTGGAAACACAACTCCACGCGACCTCTATCTATGCTCGGTGCACTGATGGAGCAGGGATAGGGTGGGGAGGACATTAGTAAGTTTACGACGTTGTTGCCTTACTATCCTGTAACGCCCCGGACACACCCGTCGGTGGTCGTTACTACTGGCGGGATCTAGACTGGTCCCACAAATTAATACTAGTCTTTTCTGCGCATGTTGTTCTCACTCATGTGCATTCGGAAGCAACTTTCCGGTCGGTCACCCATCCTGAAATTACTCCTAGCTGAGCACGCTTAACTTTGGAGTTCTTTCCGAATGGGCTCCCGGAAAAGAAGGAATTCCTTATTGATATGAGTAGTCTATCATCCCCATTAAGCCAGGCTATCACATATCCCGATCATGACACTAAAACTACCCTGGACTGGCAGCAAGAAGAATACCGTCCGTATGTCATATATCTGAAGCAGGCTTTCGCCTCGCTTTATAGATAAAACACAAACCAGACAAAGTACACGGCCGAATGATACAAGGTGGTGAGGTAGCCATCATACAATGTCGATCCCAAGATAACTGAATCACACAGAAACGACTACGCTACCGACAAAGAACAAAGGAAGAAGAGTACAACGCCACACTATGCCCTATAACACCTAAGTTCCATGACAACGCCCTCGGGAGGGAGAATGGCGCCAAGCGTCACCGCTGCCAAGTCCAAAGCAGACACGGGTTTTGACCCGGAACCCTAGCACCGAGAGGAACACTATGACGACTTCTTCAGGAAGAAAGCGACGCCCGTGGGCGTCGTCGTCGTCGACGCTAAGCGTAGAGCTTGTTGGAAATATGCCCTAGAGGCAATAATAAATTAGTTATTATTATATTTCCTTGTTCATGATAATCTTTTATTATCCATGCTATAATTGTATTGACAGGAAACTCAGATACATGTGTGGGTACATAGACAACACTATGTCCCTAGTAAGCCTCTAGTTGACTAGCTCGTTGATCAATAGATGGTTACGGTTTCCTGACCATGGACATTGGATGTCGTTGATAACGGGATCACATCATTAGGAGAATGATGTGATGGACAAGACCCAATCCTAAGCCTAGCACAGAGATCGTGTAGTTCGTATGCTAAAGCTTTTCTAATGTCAAGTATCTTTTCCTTAGACCATGAGATTGTGCAACTCCTGGATACCGTAAGAATGCTTTGGGTGTACCAAACGTCACAACGTAACTGGGTGGCTATAAAGGTGCACTACAGGTATCTCCAAAAGTGTCTGTTGGGTTGGCACGAATCGAGACTGGGATTTGTCACTCCGTGTGACGGAGAGGTATCTCTGGGCCCACTCGGTAGGACATCATCATAATGTGCACAATGTGATCAAAGAGTTGATCGCGGGATGATGTGTTACGGAACGAGTAAAAAGACTTGCCGGTAGCGAGATTGAACAAGGTATCGATATACTGACGATCGAATCTTGGGCAAGTACAATACCGTTAGACAAAGGGAATTGTATACGGGATCGATTGAGTCCTTGACATCGTGGTTCATCCGATGAGATCATCGTGGAACATGTGGGAGCCAACATGGGTATCCAGATCCCGCTGTTAGTTATTGACCGTAGAACGTCTCGGTCATGTCTGCATGGTTCTCGAACCCGTAGGGTCTACACACTTAAGGTTCGATGACGCTAGGGTTATAAAGGAAGTTTGTATGTGGTTGCCGAATGTTGTTCAGAGTCCCGGATGAGATCCCGGACGTCACTAGGAGTTCCGGAATGGTCCGGAGGTAAAGATTTATATATGGGAAGTCCTATTTTGGCCACCGGAAAATGTTCGAGAATTTTCGGTATTGTACCGGGAAGGTTCTAGAAGGTTCCGGAGTGGGGCCCACCTGCATGGGAGGAACCACATGAACGTGGGTAGTGGGGGCAAGGCCCCACACCCCTGGTCAAGGCGCACCAAGATTCCCCCTTAGAAGGAATAAGATCATATCCCGAAGGGATAAGATCAAGATCCCTAAAAAGGGGGGATAACAATCGGTGGGGAAGGAAATGATGGGATTTCTTTCCTCCCACCTTTGCCAACGCCCCAATGGACTTGGAGGGCAAGGAACCAGCCCCCTCCACCCCTATATATAGTGGGGAGGCACATGGGAGCTTTACCAAAGTTCTGGCGCGGCCCTCCCCCTCTCCCAAGTCCTCCTCCTCTCCCGCGGTGCTTGGCGAAGCCCTGCAGGATTGCCATGCTCCTCCACCACCACCACCACGTCGTCGTGCTGCTGCTGGATGGAGTCTTCCTCAACCTCTCCCTCTCTCCTTGCTGGATCAAGACATGGGAGACGTCACCGGGCTGTACGTGTGTTGAACGCGGAGGTGCCGTCCGTTCGGCACTAGGATCTCCGGTGATTTGGATCACGACGAGTACGACTCCTTCAACCCCGTTCTCTTGAACGCTTCCGCTTAGAGATCTACAAGGATATGTAGATGCACTCTCCTTCCCCTCGTTGCTAGTCTCTCCATAGATAGATCTTGGTGACACGTAGGAAAATTTTGAATTTTTGCTACGTTCCCCAACAGTGCCATCATGAGCTAGGTCTATGCGTAGTTTCTATGCACGAGTAGAACACAAGTTGTTGTGGGCGTTGATTTTGTTCAATATGCTTACCGTTACTAGTCCAATCTTGTTTTGACGGTATTGTGGGATGAAGCGGCCCGGACCGACCTTACACGTACACTTACGTGAGACAGGTTCCACCGACTGACATGCACTTGGTGCATAAGGTGGCTAGCGGGTGCCAGTCTCTCCCACTTTAGTCGGAACGGATTCGATGAGAAGGGTCCTTATGAAGGGTAAATAGCAATTGGCATATCACGTTGTGGTTTTGCGTAGGTAAGAAACGTTCTTGCTAGAAACCCATAGCAGCCACGTAAAACATGCAAACAACAATTAGAGGACGTCTAACTTGTTTTTGCAGGGTATGCTATGTGATGTGATATGGCCATGAAGAATGTGATGAATGATATGTGATGTATGAGATTGATCATGTTCTTGTAATAGGAATCACGACTTGCATGTCGATGAGTATGACAACCGACAGGAGCCATAGGAGTTGTCTTTATTTATTGTATGACATGCGTGTCATTGAACAACGCCATGTAATTACTTTACTTTATTGCTAACCGGTAGCCATAGTAGTAGAAGTAATAAGTTGGCGAGACAACTTCATGGAGACACGATGATGGAGATCATGGTGTCATGCCGGTGACGACGATGATCATGGAGCCCCGAAGATGGAGATCAAAAGGAGCAGAATGATATTGGCCATATCATGTCACTATTTGATTGCATGTGATGTTTATCATGTTTATGCATCTTATTTGCTTAGGACGACGGTAGTAAATAAGATGATCCCTCATTAAAATTTCAAGAAAGTGTTCTCCCTAACTGTGCACCGTTGCGAAAGTTCGTCGTTTCGAAGCACCACGTGATGATCGGGTGTGATAGATTCTTATGTTCACATACAACGGGTGTAAGCCAGATTTACACACGCGAAACACTTAGGTTAACTTGATGAGCCTAGCATGTATAGACATGGCCTCGGAACACAAGAGACCGAAAGGTCGAGCATGAGTCGTATAGTAGATACGATCAACATGAAGATGTTCACCGATGATGGCTAGTCCGTCTCACGTGATGATCGGACATGGCCTAGTTGACTCGGATCATGTAATCACTTAGATGACTAGAGGGATGTCTATCTGAGTGGGAGTTCATAAGATGAACTTAATTATCCTGAACATAGTCAAAATATCTTTGCAAATTATGTCGTAAGCTCACGCTTTACTTCCACTGTTTAGATATGTTCCTAGAGAAAATATAGTTGAAAGTTGATAGTAGCGATTATGCGATCAGTAGAAAGCTTATGTCCTTAATGCACCGCTCAGTGTGCAGAACCCCAAACGTCGTCTATGGATGTTGCGAACATCGGACATACACGTTTTGATAACTACGTGATAGTTCAGTTAAATGGTTTAGAGTAGAGGCACCAAAGACGTTTTCGAAACGTCCCAGAACATATGAGATGTTTTGAGGGCTGAAATTGGGATTTCAGGCTTGTGCCCACGTCAAGAGGTATGAGACCTCCGACGATTTTCTTAGCCTGCAAACTAAGGGAGAAAGCTCAATCGATGAGCTTGTGCTCAGATTGTCTGAGTGCAACAATCACTTGAATCGAGTGGGAGTTGATCTTCCAGATGAGATAGTGATGTTTCTCCAAAGTCATTGCCACCAAGCTGCTAGAGCTTCGTGATGAACTATAACATATCAGGGATACATATGATGATCCTTGAGGTATTCACGATGTTTGACACCGCGAAAGTAGAAATCAAGAAGGAGCATCAATTGTTGATGGTTGGTGAAACCACTTGTTTCAAGAAGGGCAAGGGCAAGAAGGGATACTTCATGAAACGGCAAATCAGCTGCTGCTCTAGTGAAGAAACCCAAGGTTGAACCCAAACCCGAGACTAAGTGCTTCTGTAATAAGGGGAACAACCACTGGAGCAGCATTACCCTAGATACTTGGTAGATGAGAAGGCTGGCAAGGTCGA